CAGATAATTCAATAGATGTAATAAGAAGACACAGTGCTGAGAGAGAGAGGAAAGTGGGCCAAGACCAGAAGCCTCCAATACTGGATTCTTCTTTCCATACAGGGCCATTGTTACTAGTCATACTATAAATTCATTTTTAAGTAATAGTTATTAGATTATACACAGTTATTTACAATGCTCATATACTGCTAGGAGGATTGTTATCCTGAAAGTTGGAGTAAAGTAATATAAGAAGAAGAAAGAGTTGGTGATAGTCCTGAACAGATTCATGAAGGAACAATTCCAATGAATTTAGTGGGCTTTTACCCAACAGATTTTTTTTTTACATATAAATGAACAATATCATATAAAATAGCCATCTTTATATTTTGTATTAGCTATCTTCTACTAAAACTCTTTTGTCTTTTTGATTGAGTGTAATCTTCAGTGCAGCAATCTTTGAACCAAGGTGTCTCAAATTGCTTTCAAAATCCAGAACCCATGACTTCAATCCAGTGGGATTGAAATTTGACAAAGTTATGGCTATTTCAGTATTGCTACGCTACTGCGTTACTATATTGCCACTGTCAGCTGTGGTCATATGAATCATGATTTCTGATATTCCCTGCCAGCTTCCTACAAGGAAATCAGTGAGGGAGACGACAGGAAGTTGGAAATCGCTCCCATTCCTGCTGCTTTTTTGCCCACCCATAATCACTCTGTTTAGGCAAGAAAATATCTCGGAAATGATGACCTAATGGCACATAAGTTATCACACTTGTGGAGTGTTATAATCTTACATTTAGAGCAACTAAATTCATACTTTGGATATAGTATGAAATTGTTTATAAGATAATACTCCAAAGTAAGTTGGCGTTAACTACTATACTAAAAGTGTTTTTAAGTAAATAGTTAATTTTGATATTGCTGCATACTTCTATAACTTAATTGACTGTTTTTCTATGGAAGGAATTGTTCTTGCTTACTGATAAGAAACATTGAATATTACAGTAGCTGTTACTATATATAAAAACAGTTCAGTATATTTTATAGGGCTATAAGGTTTTGTAAAACTTTAATAAAAGCATGATGAGCTAAAAAGAAAAATCCATATTTCAAATCTGTTTTTGTTGTGTTATAAATCATTTTCCAGAATTATTGTGTCTTACATTGATGCCACCAAATAGGAAAGAATGATCCAATCTGGTTACAATATTGCATTTCCAGTAGTTTTAAGAAAACGAATTGTCTATTTTAGCAATCAGTACTAGAATAACACACAATCAGCAGAACATCTTATACTAATTTTCTCTAATACTAATGGTAAAATTGATATTTTTCTTCCATTAATATTCCTATTGTAGCATATTAGTGGTGTATTCAGTTTCTGTATTATACAGTAGTTTATTCATTTTCTGAATCATCCCTCATCAGCCATATAGATAAATCCCAATAAATTATCTGAGTTTTATGTGATTAGTTTTTTTAAAAATTCAGTCAAACCTCTTAGTGTTTTACCATGCTTTTGTAATTGATTTAGGAACATATAAACTGATCAGTAGATATTGAAACCAATGATGAGGCTCTGAATATTCTGTAGAGAATTTTGAAGGACTTCAATTTTGTTTTATTAATAAGTAAAACTTGCAATCTATATGAATTATTATCCCTCCACTGGTAAAATTGCTTTGAATGTTCTCCTTCATAAAGTTAGATATTTCATATTGAAGCAAGAGATAATAAAATTGGACTCTTACCCGATTCCTCTTATTTTTTTGAGATGTTCTAAAATGTTGCTGCTTTCATTTGCTTCTCTGTCTCCAAAACCCATTTTCCTCGTAAGTTAATTTTTTTCACAGTTATTTTTGAAGCTGCATAACACTTTAAATTCTTTATAATATAGAATTATCTTCTATTAAAACTGTGCATAAAAAGTGTGATGTATATCAAATAATGAAAAAGTCATCCTACTTGATTTAACCAACATCTGACAAACAAAGAGGACTTATCTATATTAATTTTGAAATCAATGTAGGCTCTTAAGGATCTCAAGAAACTACATGGATACTTGCTCTGTATGGGGATTTCATATTATTTTAAATAATTATACTGTTAATATTGATATTACAGTGGAGTCAGCTTTCTTTGAGAGGTATAATTACCAGAAGAGCAACAATGTTGAAGAGTGCACCAGATGCAGGGCTTCACACTCAGTCTTATGAAGACATTCCAAACATTAGAATCCTGAAGTTCTGAGCCAATTCAACAAGATGCCCAAGCAGCTGAAATCTGTATGGGCACTGGCCTTTAATACTACCAGTAATAATAATCTGATATAATTGCTCTGAAAGCCAATTAAGCATCTGATTCCCAAGGATGTACTATCAGTTAACTGAGAAGGGCTTTGGGAGAAAATAGAACACAAGGAAGAAATAGCTGGAGAAAGAATCCATCAGATACAGAGGAGCAGAAGATATTTTTTTTTTGGGGGGGGGGGGGAATCCAGAAAGGCAGGAAAAGCAAATCCTGTGTGAATTTAGATAAACAGTGGGAAACCAGGGTGGTTTGGGTGCAGATAAACTTGCCAAACAGCAAATCCAGGGATGATACCACACATTTTTATGGGTGTGATTGAGGGGCAGAGGAAATCTCTGTGGGCACGTCAGATTCTTTTTATGAGGCAACAAATTTAGTGTATCACAATATGTCTTAACTGAAGGCCGTAGAAGACAAGTATGTTTTTGGTAATGACGTACATCTGTCACTGTTTATATTAAATAAATAAAATTATTGAAATAAAACATACCTTATTAATAACAGTAAAGGATATTTTAGTAAAATAATTTTTATAGCTAAGACATTGATTCTAAATTTTAATGGAATTATGTGTTTGCACATTGGAACATATCTCAGCCATGCAGGACTAAAATTTGTTAATAAAGTTTTAAATCAAATGTTGTATTTAATCTTGACTATAGTGACAACAAAATGGCAAAATCATGTTGAAGGGAAAAAAACATTAAAACTAGTTCCTTAAAAGTACTTGCAAAATACCTTCAGATTCTTAAATTGCAAATGTGTTCTGTGGGATGAAGTTTAAAAAGCATTTCTCTAGCAGTCTGAATAATTATATTCATCTGATTTTTTTTTTTAACAAACTGATTATGAAAATAAAAATTGAAGGAAATTATTTGGCTTTCTAAGGAAACCCATTAAAAACGTTGTCTGGAATAGAAGTTTAATCTTTATTTCCAACATAAATTGGTACACATCTAATTAGCCCATCTCTTTTTTTCTATTTTATCCTTAGTATTTATAACAGTAAATAAGACAATGTATGCAAACATTATCCAAGGTTTACCATTTAAAAAAATATTATCCTTACACCTACATTCATAAATATAACATCCAGGTTTTTTAAAATCTATATTTTTTATCTCTGGCTTATATTTTCTGAGGAAAGGGTTAGAGGCAACAAATATTAAATAAGTGTGCTTTTTCTTCCTAGGATTGTTAGAGGTTTGATACCCTGCATACTTGTAGGTTCTTGGCTCAAAAACAATAATAATAGTGTAACCTTTATTTCTGCATACTGTACTTGTTGAAAAAAAAGAAATTGGATTATATATAAGCCAAGATGTTTTGCTTTTGTATAAGGTCAGCACATTCTTAATTAAATAACTGTTAAATGGAAACATTCTGATTTTTTTCCCAATTGGATATCTTCTAAACCTATTAATTTGCCTGCTTTCAAAGATTTTGCGTTTATAAATTTAATAAATTATTATGGCAGTCACATAGCCAAATGTTTAGGATGGATTTGATATTTTTATCCATATTGTTGTTGTTGTTATTTTCAAAGGGAGCCAAGACACATATGTATCCATCTCTCTCCCAGCCCTTTATGTAAGCAAAGTATCAGAGGAGTAGAAGGGAACGGAGATGGACATTCTAGGCATGGAGCAGCTTTACTATGGCTCTCCTCTTTTTTATTTCTCATATTCCCTTCTTTCTTTTGCGAAGAAGAAATATTGCAGGCTGTAAATGTGTTTCTGCTGCATTTTATGACTCTTATTTATGGCAACAACAGCAGAAATGGTTGGGGGTGCAGCATGGACTATAAGATGAATTGACCCTTCTTTGAGTTGGTGCTGCTGAGATCATTTTCCCAAGCAGATAACAAGAATTTCAGTAAGTCTGAAAAGTCTTTATATAGAAACAGGATACCAAAGGTTACAGTTTTTTAAGAGATTATGCGGTCTCCAAGAAACCAAGAGTTATGACTATAATTCTTTTCCCCTGTTCTCTGTGAATGCCCTGTGATAAGCTTAGAAGGGTATCCATCGCTGCATGAAAGAATATATAGGAGAAAGGACGCTCTGAAGATTTCACAAGCAAGTAGAATTTTTAGGATTTCAAAATTCATTTGTTTAATAAGGTGCTCAAAATTTCATGTTAAGACAACAATTTTACAATATAGTCCGTAAGCTTTTGATTTTTTACAAATCCTCATCAACTAAGATAGTAATCCAAGTAAATAGTAATATTACTGATTTATGTAGTGCCTAAGTGTTAAATCGCTTTTTTAAGTTGCCTAAAAAGAATATATTTTATCAGGAATCAATTCTCTATGTATGGAGTCTGTTCCATTAGGCTTGGTGTATTGAGTTATGAGCATATCTGAAAAATGATTGTGTGTTAATTATTTTGCTGTAATGAAAATACTTTCAAAGGAAAAAAAGGAATCAGGAATATTTTCATAGTGTAGCTATAGAGGCTGGTATATGAAATAACATCTTCATTAACAGTACCTAGTGAATTAATAGAGGTATGGTTTGAAACTTGGAACCCAACAAATAAACTCTTTTTATTTTGGATTTCTTATACAAAATATCAAATAAAATGTTACAAATATAAATTTCATAAAACATAAAATATAACTTAGAAAAGTGGCTTATCAGATATTCAGTATGGATTTTGAGTGTGTTTACAAAAGTATAACAGCAATCATATTTTTAAAGGGCTTCCATGCAAGACAAAGGAATGAAGCTTACCTTGGTAACCAACAAAGAAAAAAAGACTGGCATGACAGAAAAGCTATAAAGAATGATTTGCAGAGAACAGGTTTGTATAACTCACTCAATCTTAACTCCATAAAGGCAAAATAGTACTAAATGCAATGTACTAGTGGATATGTTCATGTAACTCAAAAGAAACTACCATTGTTAACCCTTTTTTAAAAAATCAGCAAGTCATTAGCCCAGAACAGAAATTGAACAAGGCTTCCCTCAATTCCTAATGCCTTTTTTCACTGATCATAGACAAAACCAGGGCTTTTTTTGTCATAGAACGCCCAGAATGGAGTTCTGGCACCTTTTTTGGATGGAACCTTGTAGGGTAGGCAAGGCGGGTTATATGACGTGTGTGAGTTCCAGCACCTTTTTTTTTTTTTTTTTTTACAAAAAAAGCACTGGACAAAACCCCCATAGAGCCTTGCTTGTTCCAGAAGACAGGAAAAATGTTCTCATTGTTTTCAAGTTTTGTAAACAACAGCAAAAAGCATGGCATGGGGCCCTAGGAAGCCATTTTGATATCTGCTTTTGTTTGTGCCATCCCATGTCTAACTAGTTCAATGGAAATGCAGGCACAGTGGACAGAGTAGCAGGAAAAGGAAAATCTGTAAGTCATACTTGCCAGTGTTTATATAAGAAAGGAGTGTTTCTTGGAAGGCTTAAGTACTCCACTGTATAAGCCTTAGTAGTATATATAACATTTTAAAGGAAGAGAAGAAATGGTAAACATTGTTAAGCAAAACAGTGAATGGGATAAGCAGGTATTTCAAAACAATTTGTAACAAAACAACATATGCCTGTTGTATCTCCATGTTTCAAGAAATAAAAACTGGCAATGCACCAGCTATGCCAGTAGTAAACAGTAACAATTCTAGATTTGACTCTAGTACTGGAAAAGAGATGGGTGACAAGAAGGACAAAAAATATGAGTGAAGCTACAGTAGCCATGACAAAAGCCCTATTTTAGTCTGAGAGTACGTTGTATAAAAAATAGTAACCAATGTAGTTGTGTTGATTTTAATAAAAAATATATTTAGTGATAAAAAAATGGCTGGTGCATTAGATAACATAGAGTAAAGAGATTCCCATTCAGTTTTTTTTATGAACAATTGGTCTCCCTTATATACTATAGCAGCAAAACAAATGAATAGTGTTTCAATATTATGTTGAAAATTAAAAATGCCTGATCGTTTGTATGTCAAAATGGAGGGGAGAGGGGAAATTTCATGAATATGGTAAATGGTGCCTTTCCTCTGGAAAGGTATCTCCAGTAGACTTGAATAGCCCTGACACTGCTATCTTTTAAACTTGCCTTGAAAACCCGACTTTTTCCCCAGGTTCTAAGTGAGGGTGGAGTGGTGCATCCATCTGAATAGGATGGGCTGCTGGAACTGGGTATGTCTAGTTTAATGAAGAGAAGGACGAGGGGGGACATGATAGCAGTGTTCCAATATCTCAGGGGCTGCCATAAAGAAGAGGGAGTCAAGCTATTTTCCAAAGCGCCTGGAGGCAGGACAAGAAGCAACGGGTGGAAACTAATCAAGGAGAGAAGCAACCTAGAACTAAGGAGAAACTTCCTGACAGTTAGAACAATTAACCAGTGGAACAACCTGCCTCCAGAANCCTGCCTCCAGAAGCGGTGAATGCTCCAACACTGGAGGTTTTTAAGAAGAGACTGGACAGCCATTTGTCCGAAATGGTATAGGGTTTCCTGCCTGAGCAGGGGGTTGGACTAGATGACCTTCAAGGTCCCTTCCAACTTTACTATTATTATTATTATTATTATTATTATTATTATTATTATTATTATTATTATTATTATATTTGTTATGTTTGTGGTGTGTCTTTTTGTCTAGCTGTAGCCATTTTTTTAATTGATTTATTACCACCCAGAATCAGTGTGAGTTGGGCAGCCTTATAAATTTAAATTGCAAAATATAAGGTATGTTGATTCATCAAGATAAAAATCTGATAAGTCTATTGTGGCCTTTTTCAAAAGGAGAAAATTACCAAAATGTCTCTTTTTAGCATTATCCAATATTCATAAACTGTATAATCTGCTTCTTAAATGGGGAGTTTAACAATTTGGGGTGTATTATTAAGAAATCCCAGCTGCGGTCCTAGAATATAGGACTAGACTATGACGAATGAGAAAAATTCAACAGCTTCTTGAATTTTGAACATGGATGAAATTATTGCTCTTTTAGATGTGGAATGTTTTAAGATTACTCCTTGCCTTTCTTATCTCTGCAGGAAATGGAGAACAAGGAAAACCATATCCTATGACTGATACTGAGCAAGTGGACCAGGCATATAGGGAAAATGGTTTTAATATTTTTGTGAGTGATAAAATTTCTTTAAACCGTTCTCTACCAGATATACGACATCCAAAGTAAGTATAGAATTTTCTTATGGTTGAAAGTATGAGTTTTCTTATTTCTATAATTTATTTTCCTGCATTTTCTCTTAAATGCCATTCCAGCTAAAACTAATATTTTTGTTGTCAAAGTGAGTTTCAGCTGATGCATTAAATATCATATCTAATAGCATGACTACTTGGGTTATGCATTTTTTTTAATTTAAACAGTTCCATGTTTGAAACACACCTATTTGTACTTTAAACACTTGCGAAACAAACAGGTTTTTCTTGAAACACTCTTTCAAGATAAAAACAGTCTCAAAATGTTCAAAACAGCCTGTTCCATATTTCAGATGGAGCAATTTGCAGTCAGTATGGGATGTTTCAGATATGAAAAAATTTGCACATTGCTGCTGGTGGGTGAAATTCAATAATAAGGTATTGTGTAATGTAACCAATGCCCACAGTTATCAATTGTTCTTTATAAATTGAAATAATATGTTGTTAGTTAACTGGATGTTTAATATTTACATGAGATAATAGAAGTGATTTCTTTAGGTGCTGGAGCAGTGATAATATTTATAAATACTGATCTCTTCATTTTTAAGCTGCAATAGCAAGCTATATCTGGAACAACTTCCCAACACCAGTATAATAATCCCATTCCACAATGAAGGATGGTCCTCACTTCTTCGAACAGTGCATAGTGTTCTCAATCGTTCTCCTCCTGAACTGATAGCTGAAATTGTGCTGGTGGATGATTTCAGTGATAGAGGTACATCCAATGTATAATGTATTTGCTTGACTCGACAAAAACAATGTTATATATTGGATTATTTTGCACATACAATACACAAAATACATTTTAATGTTGGGCTTCTAAGTACTTCCTCTGTTGTTTTTTTAAAAAAATTAATGTATTTTATATGTCACACTTATTCATTTTTAATGTTAAGGAAAACATTTTTTTCTTGAATTAAAACTTTTAAAAAAGAGTTGCAGAATTAGGTAAGACAGATGAACCATGCAGAATCAAAATTTCTGATTAGATAATTATATGTTTGTTTTAGTAGGCAGATGTGTATTATTGGATTATATATTGCAGTTTAACATAGTAAATGGTTTTTCTAATTTTGAGTAGTATTGTTAAAGAAACTTGTTGGATCAGAATAAGCACACTTCTAGCCCATGTGGCAGGCAGGATGTTGACAAACATGGACAGAAGAATTATACTCCTTTTCCTCTATTACTCAGTAGTAGCTCATATTCAAGGTAGATCTTCATGAGTAAAGAAATAGCAAATAGCTATTAAGACCAGTTGCCATTGATAGCCCAATTCTCCATGAATTTATTCAGTTCCCTTTCTAATTTGATAGTATCATATTCCAAAGATTAATTCTGTATCATTTGTGGATATATGTATAAAAGGAACCTCTTTTTACTATTCCTAAATTTCTCCCATTTAGTTTTAATAAATAATCCCAACTTTTAACTTTGTAAGAGAAGAACAAAATTCCCTATCCCAATTATCCATATGATGCATATTTTAATATACATTTGACTCCCTTTACTGACCTTTACTCTGAATTAAAAAACCCTAATCACTGTGGTCTTTTCTTATAGATAGCTGCTTTAGTTCTCTAACTATTTTGGTTATATTTTCTCAACCTTTCCCAGTAACCTTCTTGAGATATGGTGATCAGAACTATACACAGTATTCCACATGCTATGGAATATATGATTGACATAGAGGCAAAACTAAATTGGCTTTTTATTTCCTGTTCCTTTCATAATGATTTTAAGCTTAGAATTTCTAACTTTACAGTTACTGTGAAGTGAAGTGACATTTCCATTGAACTATCCATCAAGATTCAAAAATCCCTTTCTTGCTCAATCACTAACATAGAATAGAATAGAATAGAATAGAATAGAATAGAATAACTTTATTGTCACTTTAAATATACACAATCAGCATACATTAAAATGAGATTTCATTGCATACAGCTCTCAAAGGGTAACCACCTCCCATACACACTGCATAAACATGGCAAAAAAAATTATGCATATACCCATATACACACACATATATGACCCAAAGAAA